ACAACACTTGTTCTGTCTGAATTTCCAGAAATAATGCAGTGACCCATATGATTCTCTCCTCTGTAGAAAATCACTTTGACCTATTTTGATGTAAAGTAGTCCATGGTCTTATTTCTTCATATAAATGAATGAATTAGATGAAACAGCGGAACTACTTTACACATGCGTCTACAATATAGACATTTTTCAGTGACATCCAAAAAGAAATCTCCCTGCAAGAGTCAAGTGAACTGAAGCAATCTAAAGCATTATTATTCTTATTATGTATCAGGTTACCTTTGTGTTGTGAAAAGGCAGCTTCCTTCTCTTTTCATACGGCCATGTTCTTTAATATTAGCATGTTTATTAAAGTTTAAATCCAGAAATTCTGGATTATACAAACAACAGCACTTGCTTGTTTTTACTTGGGTTTGTGCTGTTACTGCAGATCATCTGCTAATTGAATGATATTGAAAACAGCATCATTGTATCCTATCACAGGAAGTTGTAGTCAGGGTGAAACTGTTCTACAGTACATGACAATTTATTAATGTAGCTCATGTGAGTGGGGGTGCATGCAGATAGCTGAATTTAGATGTCAACAATACCTAAATCTTAAATTACCATTTTATTTTTTATCCAGAATTCTTACAATGCTTGTACTTGAGTTGAGTTTACCCCTTTGCTTACCTGAGCAGATGGATGGTATATTCCAGATTTAGAAGACAATGCCAGTCATTGTCTGTAGTGAGGCTGTCAGTTTCATTAGTAGATTTTACTTCAGCTTGACATTTCCTTTGTCGAACTTATCATTGTGTTTGTTAATAAAACTCATTTTTGAATGGACTCCTGCCTGTTGCATTGCTCATCATCCAAATTTCAGTTTATTTGGAAACAAGTGGGAGAACATACAAATGAAGGGAAAATGTTTTCAGAAACAATTGGGGAGTCAAGAGATTATAGCTTGTGCATATTTTAAATCAGATCTTTCGATCCTCAAAACTGACTGGAGTCTTTCACAGCTTTCGACTGTAAGCCACTATCACCTTCTTAAGACTCTACATTGAGGTATTTCATACATAACTATTTGTCAGGTGCAAACACTTGAATCAAGCTTGTCCTCACTGTCATCCTTAGTGTCATTCCTTGGAAACTATGAGAGAAATGCTTTGGTTCGCATAACTCAAATTTCTAAATGAACATGGGAAAATGAACATTTATTAGTCCGAGTAGTTTTACATTACGAGGCTGATAGAAAAAATAATAATATCCTGCTAATAAGTGTTGATGAAAAGCTACTGTCTGTGTGTTGTTAGTCAGGGAGCCTCGTCTGACACTTTAGCCCTTTATGCAGTCTATTAAACACCTCTGTCTGTTGCTTTGATTAATCTCTCTAATATTAATAAGCAAAACAGAATTACAGGGAAAGATTTATATAAAGGTGCAGCACTTTGTCAGAGTGTTTCTGACTGAAACAAGTCTGAAGAGAGCAGATGGTTGATGGACATTTACAATGCAGTGGATGATCATCATCCCATGCTTGGGGTGTTAGTGTATCATTTGATGTTAGGCTAACATTTACAAACCCACCTATACCAAAGGGAGCTGTTGGTCTCATTTCCTTGTCTCAACATGATGCCTGGCTCCGCAGGTGAGAGGAGAGGTAATTATTTGCACATCAGGGTGAATAAAAGACAGTAGGCATAACTGTGAGCCTTCCACTCATTACTGCACCAGTTTCTTGTGTCCACTCTCAGCTGGACAGACATGACATTTCATAAGGTGATGCTAAAAAGATATAACAGATGATTATAAAACATCTCTCAATCCAAGGAGAAGCCTGTTATTTCACTAAGAGCATGCTGAGAGTTATAATTTATGCACCTAAACTCAGGGCTTCATTCAAGGCGTCAGCGTAAAAGCACAGGCTGTCTATCAGTTTGATTGGGAAAAACAAAAAGAAAAATCTTAATTTCATTGTACAAAGCAGTTCAATATTTCAATGAAGGTTTCACAAAAATAAATAAAAGCCTTTTCACTGTTAAAATTCCTGATCCTGCCGTCCACCTGCTAAAGCCCATTATGGCTCACAATCCAACAGTGAGGATCGTGATGAGGCAGAATCAGTTACACAGTGAGCATCGATTAGGAAATATTCCTTGGAACGTGCAAACTGTGAACATTTGGTTGACACAAACACACAGGCAAATTAACAGAAACAGGCACACAAACAGATGTAGGTTGTGCTTGATCATTAAACACATTCATCCTGTCCAATAAACTCTGTAAGCCTTTATTACCTGTAGCCGGTATAAAGATACATTAGAAATCACACACAAAGTGTACAGAAAACCGCACAATGCACAGGACATGTAGGGTAGCATGTTTTCTATCAACCTTTTGAATAATAATAATAATGTTTTTCTAGAGGCTTCATGAGACTACTAAGCTAGGTAAGGGATTGCAGAGCTGGAAGAAAAGAAACAAACAACAATGCGATACAGTGAACCTACCTTGGTGGCCTATCTTAATGGGTAAATGCATTTACATCTGACTTGGCTTTCCAATCGTCCTCCTGACCTAGTTGTTTAAATGTGGCTTGGACCCTACTCAGCTTTGATGAACAGGTGCCTCTATTAGGAATTACCATTTTTATTTACCGTTCTTAAGGTTTAAATTACATTCACGATATATATATACACGGTCTATCTTCATGGTTTAAATTTCTTTATGGTGGAAGACTGTAACACATCTTTTATTGCTCTAGGGAAGAAGAAGAGAGAAAGAGTGTAAGAAAGGGAGGAAAAGGGAATTCAAAAATGGGTTAAATAGTGTAGGCAGGAAGAGGCCTGCGCTCTCTTATTACCACCTGAAGAAAGGCCATTGCCATTAGATTAAAATTTAATTTACGAAATAGTGTTTTAATGCAGCTGTTCACCAGCAGCCCATTCCAAATACGCTTTCTGTCAGTGCATTTCCTGAGGGCCATTTAATTGGGCTAATGAAGAAAGTTGCTAATGGCTGGGTTTATCTCTGGCAGCACTAGTGACATTTCATCAAGGCAGGTGATTTTCCAGGCATTGTTTAAGCTCAGTGTTTAGCATTTTGTAGTTGAAGAAGAAAAAAAAAGGCAAAACATGTTTGGAGAAAAAAAAAAAAAAAAGCTGTGGTGGGAACAATGCAGTCTGAGGAAAATGGATAATTCAACTTCATTCAAGAACAGATTTAATTATTTTCTAATTATTTTGCACACATGCCGCTAATCATCTTTCTTTTAAAACAGCTGGCTCATTGTTACTCAGCATTTCGTCTTGGGTTTTAGAATTCTGGGTACGCCCACACAACCTGAAGGTACACTTAATGGACACAATATGCATCACATTTGAATAGTCAAACAGTGCACATAGAGACAGTGATGTGACATTTACCTTCATCAGTTATCAACATCTTGACATTAGTACATCAAACCTGCTGTTTAATAATGAGCACTGGTCGCCATCTGACTAACGAATGGTTCTGACACTCTTGTCAGTCCCTCCTGTCAGACGGAAAGGTCAGTGAGAAAGTCAAAGAGGTTGAAACCCATGTTTATACATGGATCGACTACGAGATTATACTGAACAAAGCTGACATGTTGAAATCGCAATACCAAATGAAGGGCATAAACTCTGACAAAACTATATCTCTATGACAACAGTCATGTCAGAAAATGACTAGATCAGGGCATGATCTGACATTTCTATGGATATGGTAATGAGTTATGATATATCTTTAAATGCCAAATATGTGTGGTATGGTGGCTCAGTGATTAGCAATATTGTTTGACAGCAAAATATGTTACAAGCTTTGACTGCTGTTGTGTTCACCCTGGTGCACTGGCAACATGTAGTTCACTGTGTTTTCATACACTCTGCAATTACTAAGTAATCTGAACATTTTTGCAGTTAATTGTGTGGTCCCATTATAATTTCCTAAAGCTCAAGGTGACATCTTCATATTCCTTGTTCCAACAAAAAATCACAAAGGTTTTCATCGCGTAAGACAAAGAAAAGTGATGAATCCTCACCACTAACAAGCTAGAAATGCTCAAAATGTGACGTAAACAATTAATCAATTACTAAAAGAGTTACCAATTATTTTAGTAGTCTTCCTTCCAGTTCTATAATAGACAGAGACATTATGGAATATGGGTTTCAAGCTAATTGTATAGTATAATACTGAACAAGACAATGCAGATTTTCTTTGTCACTTACCTGCTGCTGCAAACATCAACTCCAAATCCCTCATCATTTCACGTCATATAATTTCCCAGGTATTCAACACTTTTAATTACATACAGAAATGTTTAATGCAATTACTGCTGCTTCTCAGGTGGCATAACAGACCTGCATAATAATGCAGAGTACTCTCACAGATACTGTATCTAGGCACTGCAGGGAATATTTTTACAATAAAACTTTTAATTCGGGTTCAAAAGCACATATCTAAAGTAGAGTTGGCTAGAATATGCCAAACACACACTACATGTAGAATGAAACTGAAAAAACGTGACGTTTTTGATGAAAAAAGTGATGTCTGGTACATAAAAACACACACAGTCCAATCAGTCATCATCCCAAGGTTAACCTTCTTAAGTAACTACAATTATTATTTAAGAATACTATTATAGTATACACATTTCTGAATATAAGGTAGAGAACCCACATCTTACATTCAGTTTCTGATTTAATTTCCACAGAATTTAAATCTGCTTGTCCGTTATTGATGAATGGGCTCAACTGAAATTTCAAATCATCTCAGCCTGGTCGCTACGTCCCTTGGCAAGGCTGTCCAACGCACGGTTTCCTTTATTGTAAACAACAATGAAGTGTGATATTTGAAAAAAACAGATGCGTTACCGGTGAACTGCGAGCCACCAATCATTTGTAGTCTGTACCCAAAGCGGCTTTTGAATCCCTCCTTCTCTTCCCTCCTCTTCAAATCCATTGGCTGCCAGAGGAGTAGCGACAATGTTTAATGCACCATGCGGTGTCCAGAGTTCAGTCAGTGAGAGGAAGCGTTCAATGTGCTTAGGGCTGTTTTACGTGCAGAAAATACTAAATAACGACAGTGCGCATATATTCAAGAAAATCACCATTTTTTCTGACTACTACAGAGAGACTTGCGCCAGAATGCGGGGTTGTTGCTGACCACCTCCTCAGCAGCTGTCTCTCTTTTTCTGTGTGTGGACTTTGACGGGTGGGGGGGTGTACGGCGGACAAGGACAAAATGCCACAACGGGAATCAGTCACTCAGCGCTGTTTCGGACGGGTTGAAAAAAAAACACTGATCGCCTTTTAAAATATCCACTTTGGATCTACCTTTCTACACATCTGGATTTTTTCCCCCCCTCTCCACATAGAGTATTTCTTAGAACAGTTTTCCTTCCTGAAGAACGGTGACTCACTGCAGGCAGAAGGCGAGCCGCTGCATCCTAATCAGACAGCGGAGAGGACTTCAGCTCATTGACATTACAGTCATACTTTTCTGGAGCACTTTTTTTTATTTCCACTGCGCTGCACTGTAGCCTGCGTGTGCATCGGAGGCTTGTGGCGTTTTTCCTGCACAGAGAAGGGAGAGAGGATACGGGTGGTACCTACTGAAGTGGCTTGGGGATGAAAGTCTCCCTGAACCCTGCTGGAACTGACTGTTTTGAATTTCACAGTTATGTTTTTTGGACTATTGCAGCAGTTTCTTTTGGTAAGTTTTTTTTTTTAACCTTTTTTATGTTCTTCTTTAGGTCTCTTCTGTTGTGTAATTTCCCCGCTGGAAGTACTGTCTGTTGTTCAAACGGTTGTTATTTTACAACCATCAATGCATGCGGATGCAACAGCTTCTTCCAAGGACCGTTGAATCTTGCGGAGAGAGAGAGAGGGCGAGAGACATAGAGCACCAGTGGGGAGAATTACGTGGCTGTGCTGAGATGTTGGCAGCTCATTTCCGAATTTTTATAAGGCTCATTGCGAATATCCGGATTATGCGGATTTGTTAATGCGTGTAAGAGGCTCATTTTATACACATTTATTTAAATAGCCGTCACAATAGGCCATCTTCAGTTGTATGCCTGCAGTGTTACCATATTATTAAAGTTGCCCTATTACAGTTTCAGTCAGCATTATCACACTAGGGTCAGGTCGTGCATTGCACATTAGATATAGATTAAAACCCGCCTCCTGAGTATTGTGTTAATAATAATACATGTAGTAAATAAGATACAATGGGAATCATTATGTCCCTGTGTGTCAGGGCTGCGCCAAGTGTCTTCCCAAGGTTAACTAATTGACAAGCTTCCCCCATAATTGTGGAGATGAATTACACATGAGCCCTGTTTCATTTTTGGCTCAGTGGTGGATCTGATTTCTTACCGGCAGGATGGCTACAGTGTAGCTTAGTCTATTTTTATTTGGGTGACTAATTGCTACATATACATTATAACAAATGTATCTTTTTCTGTTTCTTTCTTAGGTTGTATGAGTGAACACTTACAATGACTATTCTGTTTGGAGACTGGATTGCGATTATTGCTCAGATGAGTCTGGGCGCTCAGCTGAATATAAATTAGGTGTTCGGCACTACAGATTGCTGGAAGAGGCAGAGGAAGAGAGAGACAATCCACAAAGACAAATGCCAAGGCCTCACATGATGAACAGAACTCTTTATTTGATCCAGAATAATAGAAATACCAAATTTGAACAAAATATCAACAGGTCAAAGGAGGAGTAAACACAACACCGTTTATTGAAGCTTTTACGGAGTGGGGATGTATCTTTCTATTTTCTTTTTCCTCCTCTTATGGGCTCAAGCCCTGACATTGAAAAACTTAAATTACTCTGTCCCGGAAGAACAGGGTCCGGGGACAGTGATTGGGAACATTGCCAAAGATGCTAGACTCGGACTCGAACAAGTTGGACAGGCAGGACAGGGTAAGAAAGCCAACTTCAGGGTGCTGGAGAACTCCGCTCCGCATCTCATAGACGTGGACCCCCAAAGTGGACTGTTGTACACAAAGCAGCGAATTGACAGGGAAACATTGTGTAAGAGAAACCCCAAGTGCCAGCTCTCTATGGAGGTTTTTGCCAATGACAAAGAAATCTGCATGATCAAAATAGATATTCAGGACATTAATGACAACTCACCCACTTTCCCCTCTGATCAGATTGATATTGACATTTCGGAAAACGCAGTGCCAGGGACCCGCTTTCCCCTGACCAGCGCGCATGACCCAGATGCAGGGGAAAACGGCCTGAAAACCTATCAAATAACACGCGACGACTACAATCTCTTTTCTTTGGAGGTAAAGTCCCGTGGGGACGGAACTAAATTCCCAGAATTAGTTATTCAACGACCATTGGACCGAGAAGAACGAAGCCATCACACCCTTATTTTGTCAGCCACTGATGGAGGGGAATATCCTAGGTCAGGTACCATGCAGATAAATGTCAAAGTTATTGATTCTAATGATAACAGCCCTGTGTTTGATCAGGCCTCATATGTTGTGGAAATTCCTGAAAATTCACCTCCTGGTAAAGTTCTGATCGACTTAAATGCTACTGATCCTGATGAGGGTAACAATGGACAAGTAGTCTATTCTTTTAGTGGCTATGCCCCAGAGAGAATCCGGGAGCTCTTCTCCATAGATTCAAGAACAGGGGTCATAAAGATTCAGGGCGAAATTGACTACGAAGAAAGCCCAGTTATTGAGATTGACGTCCAGGCAAAGGATCTAGGTCCCAATCCAATCCCAGGCCATTGTAAAGTCACTGTTAAAGTGCTTGACAGGAATGACAACTGGCCGTCTATAGGCTTTGTGTCTGTGAGACAGGGAGCCATCAGTGAGGCAGCACCTCCAGGCACTGTCATTGCTCTGGTCCGTGTCACAGACAAGGATTCAGGCAGGAATGGGCAGCTTCAGTGTAGAGTACTGGGTAGTGTCCCTTTTAAACTTGAGGAGAACTATGATAACTTCTATACAGTGGTGACAGACAGGCCCTTGGACAGAGAGGTACAGGATGAGTACAATGTCACTATTGTTGCCAAAGACAATGGAATTCCTCCTCTTAACTCCACAAAATCCTTCACTGTAAAGATTCTGGATGAGAATGACAATGTTCCTCGCTTTACTAAGTCAGTTTACCTTCTTCAAATACCTGAGAACAATATCCCAGGGGAGTACCTAGGATCAGTTCTGGCACATGACCCAGACCTTGGCCAGAATGGCACAGTGTACTACAGCATAATCAACTCCAATGTGAGTGGCGGTGATGTCAACACTTATGTCAATGTGAACGCTGCTAATGGAGCAATCTATGCTGTGCGATCTTTTAACTATGAGCAAATTAAGTATTTTGACTTCAAGGTTCTTGCTAAAGATGCTGGATCTCCACACCTGGAGAGCAATGCTACAGTGCGCATCAGTGTTCTGGATGTCAATGACAACATCCCTGTCATAGTTCTGCCCCTACTCCTAAATGACACGGCTGAAATCCATGTGCCGCGTAATGTTGGGGTTGGCTACATTGTCACCACAGTGAGGGCAGTGGACAATGACTATGGTGAGAGTGGAAGGCTCACCTATGAGATCTCAGATGGCAATGAGGAGCACCTCTTTGAGATTGATCCAGTCACTGGGGAGGTGCGAACAGCCCACCCATTCTGGGATGATGTAAGCCCCATTGTGGAGCTGATCATCCGAGTATCGGACCACGGCAAACCAACCCTCACTGCTGCCGCCAGGCTCATCATCAAGGCCTCTGACGGACGTCCTCCTGATGGACTGCCACGCACGAAGGACAATCAGAACTGGGACATGTCCCTGCCTCTTATTGTAACTCTAAGCATCATATCTATCATGCTTCTGGCTGCCATGGTGACCATAGCGATCAAGTGCAAGCGGGAAAACAAGGAGATTCGTACCTATAATTGTCGCATTGCAGAATACTCTCACCCTCAGCTGGGAAAAGGCAAGAAGAAGAAGATTAACAAGAACGACATCATGCTGGTGCAAAGCGAGGTGGAAGAGCGGGATGCCATGAATGTGATGAATGTGGTAAGCAGCCCTTCCTTGGCCACCTCTCCCATGTACTTTGACTACCAGACACGCCTGCCACTCAGCTCACCAAGGTCAGAGGTCATGTACCTCAAGCCCACTGCCAATAACCTCAGCGTGCCCCAAGGCCACGTGGGATGCCACACCAGCTTCACAGGCCCAGTCACCAGCACTACAGACACACCTACTAACCGCATGTCCATAATACAGGTAAGGGAAATTGCACTCTCCTCCTTCACTGTTATGCCACCATTTTCACATCACAACCCTCCGAAAGCTCCCATTTCCTGTATCAACGTTCGCCCCTTGTTTTGTAAAATGAAAGAAAAAGAAGATAAGGACAGGCAGAGGCAGAGAGGCCCAAGAGTACAGAGAGAGACATAGGGGAGGGAGGGGTGAGCATTAAAAGGATTAAACAGTCATTCTGGTGCTCTTATAGAACAGAGCCAGTGACATCAACACAAATCAGTTGTGCTTGAAATATGTCACGGTAGGCTTTTGAAATCAGTTTTTATGTAGAAATTTTTCATTAATCACTCGATCGCTGTCATTTCATTCCTGCGGACTAAAGAGTTTAGCCTGTGGCTGAGTTATAAGCAGGTATGTGGGTTTTCAGGACCGGTTCCATTTTAAACTACCAAATTATCCCACATGCATGTCCTAAGACTAGATTTATTTGAAAATAAAAATCGTTTGTAAATTATTTTAATAGACCTGTACACAGTAATATTAAGACCTATAATATCACATCATTAGAGAAAAGTTACTCCAAAGAGTGACATACATTTTCTGCTGTTTCAAGCCACTGTTTATAACACTTGTGGGTAATTCTAGCCATTTTAATTCTTAGAGATTAGCAGATTGTACTTATTTTCAGCTACTTTATACGTCTTTGTGTGGAGTACTTGGGTATATAAGCCTCTAACGTGATAACTTCTCTGTGTCTTTGGCCTTAAACCCATTTAAAGTCTGTCGTGTCAGACGAGGATTAAGGCCTGCTTAAGACAGTGGTAATGCTGGGGATAATGGGCAGTTGTAGCAAAATGTTGTTTTATTATGATGTTTACCTATTGTGAGCAAATAAAAATTGCTCCCTGTGAGTTTTATTATTATTAAGTTCTGCCTATGACTTTACACTGTTTAGCACAATGGGAGAATTACATTCTTTCCAGTTACGCCCTGATTGACTGTAACCATTGGTGTCACGCTTAGGCTCGCTGCTATCTTTTTTATCCCACTGTTTGCACTGGACATAGATGTGACGATGACTGTGATCAGATGTGATGTGTTCTCACCAGGGAGGAAGGCCACTGTCTGTTGTTCCCACTCTCAGTCTCAGCCCTGCTTCTATTATGAGCCAGCTGTATAGGGCAAGGGTCAACACAGAGACCGTTAAGGCTTCCTAATCAGAGAGACAGAATAATTGCTGGTCCATTCTGCAGGCTGTTTCTCTGCTAATGTAGTGATGATGAATTAGTCTGCGCAGGGCTGTTGCACACCCATTTTGTGCACTTTTCTCTCCCCCCCCCCTTTAGATTGTCAAAAGGGAAAACAAGCAAGAGCGGCAGCAACACATTCCTTAGTGTCTTGTTTACAGAGGGTCCCCTCGATGCATCAGGCGTGCAGGGTGCTCTATTGTATTATTCAACAGAAACCTGTGTAGAGGAAGATGGCCTGAGGCATTAAGTTTCTTCAGAAGCTGTACAGAAGCGTATCACTTTCCTCCCTCCTCTCTGCTTCTGCCTCCTCTCCCTGTTCGTGTGGACAGTAAGTAACCTGAGTCAGAGAAGAGTGGCTATGGGAAAAATGTCAGGAAACAAAGACAGAATTCCCCTTCCATCGATCCCTAGGCCTCTCAGCCCATCTGTCACTACAGTTGCCACGGGAGGAGAGGCTAAATAGGAAAAATAAATAAAGAGATAGATAAAGTGGGAGCATATCGCCTGCTCAGTCAGTTTCACAAGGGCACCTTAGTGCTCCTGTCTTCACATGCATCTAGTAGGGCTACTGTAAATGCCTGCAACTCCCAGTCTCTCTCCACGCTGCTGCTGGCCTCTAATGATGTTTTATAGTGGTGCACTGGCAGACAGGCTGGGCTTGGTCTCTAGCTGGGAGAGGAGAATAATATGAACATATCAGCAGAGCTCTGCTGGCCTTATCATTGTCACCACCGTGCCAGCACCCGGCCCAGTGGAGAGCTTCATTTCATTTCTAAAGAGAATTCCTGGGATAAGGAGATGGATGATACGTAATGATGCCTAATTCCGCTTAAGGCGTTGAAGGGAATTACTTAGTGTGGAATCAAGGTTAAAACCAATCTGCTGCAAAATTCCTCAATGCTCAGGAAGAAGGGATTTCAGTAATTCGCTCCAAAGAGTGAGCATGCGCCCACTCTGTCTTGAATATGTTTTTCGGATTTTGTCCCACATTAGCTTAAGCAGCTGTGCCGGTCTGTGGCCCACTGACTGGTTCATAGGTTTCTCTGCTGCTTTCTTGCTGCCTTTTTCGAGGAGTTGCCCTCATTGTTATCAAACATTCAAAGACTCCTGTTTCATTACTTTTAATTGGACCATAATTTATCATATTGATTTGTTTTGATAAGTTTTGAGTGTTGTAATTTGATTCACCATGAAACTGTAATTAAAAAGAATCCTGTCTCGGTGGGAGACCATCCATGTTAATAAGGTGCAGGTGGTACAGAGGCAAAGGGGGAGTCTGAAAGGCTAAAAAAACTGCCTTTAGGTGGCGGCATTCTGCCTTGTGTAGGGTGACATTAAGATGAGGGTGTCAAGTCAGCAGAGGCTAGAGACCCCCTTCTCCTTGACATTGTCACTCGTCACTTGGTGAGGAGGCTTCTACCACCCTAATGAAAAATGTCAGCCATGAATACGAAACAAATACGTGGAATATAGAATATTTTTATGGAATTGCCTGCATGACAATATTTTGTTTCAGTTGGTTTGAATTGCAAGCACTGAATTTACAAAGCAGACATCTAATGATGCAATCCATGATTGATGATGAAAGACATAGTTTTCACACTTTTACAGCATATAAATTAGAAAAGCAAGGCAAATTGTAACAAAGTATAATAAACCAAAGTCTTTGAATGGATTCTCAAAATGACTGGCAGGCATAACCCTATTGTGTACTTTTAAACAATGCGGAAAAAAACAGTTAAGAGGTGTGACTGAGATCATTTAAGTAGTGTGTATACAATATAGGAGATACAATTTTCACTCCTTTGATCTGTTTAAGTTGAGCATATGCATGCCAACAATGTAGCTGGAGCAGATGTTGAAAATGAATGCTTCCAGGAATGGTCTTACTCTGCATAATTAAGGGAGCCTGTGTGTGTGTGGGTGTAACGTCATTGTGTATTCCAGGCATGTGATTTAAGCCTTTAGCTGGCAGGCTCCGTGACAGAGCCCCTCTCTTTTATGAGCGGGACAATCTTGCATTTGTCCGAACCTTGAAACACCCTTCCTCCAAGAAACACACACACAGTCGTGCACACAAACACACAGATGCACATGTAACCAGGCTTGGGCTGTTTTTAAGGATTCTACCGAAGTCTTATCAAAGCCTCGCTATATATTGTATTGAAATTGCTCCCACACTTCAGTGGCCACTGAGGCAATGAATAGAAAAGCGCTCTTTATTTCATTTCTCTCCCTCTCCCTTCATCTTTAGATAACTGCTTTCCTCTGGAGCTTTCTATGGAATTAGTTTGGTAAACCTGTATGTACTGAAGCTTGCTTGCAGACAGGATTGAGCAGCTCAGCAACTAGATGCATTCATAGGAATGAGAGACAGTTCAAGAAGCCATTTGTAATTTGTTTACTTTTGTCCCCTAGTTGAGCTCTTCTGGGCCACTAGGCCAGATTTGTTATATTTGAGCTTGCCAGTATATAAAAAAAAAATTATTATCAGCTCGCTTTAGGGTGTATCTTCATATTTCCTCAAATAAACCTGCTGCTACTGTACATAACACTACACGCTGAAATTCTGAATTATTAATGGGGAGTTTTATTTTTCTTTATCTCCCTCAAGCTCATGTGATAGATACAACTGATAGGGAGTGCCTTCAGACCACAGAATGTTGCTCTGGGGAACAACAGTAAATTATGTTATCTCTATATATCCAAAATAAAGACATTTTGTCATTGAATGTTTCATTTATTAACTGCCATTACTGGTGTTTCAATTTGCAGAAGTGCTTGTTTCAATACAGATGCGTTTTGAAGCTGTAGCAGCAGTGTAATGTGCAGCACAAAACAGCAGCTATATTTGCATCCTCTTTCATTAATAAATCATAACGTTTAACAAATCAGAGGGTAGCGGAAGATGTCATGATAAACATCAGAGGTCTCTGGCTATTTGTGAACATGGGAGGGAAGTGGGGGGAAGTGCAGGACAGAACACAGGGTAAGTGGGAAAAATAACTTACTTTCTTATAAGCAGAACTGAAGCATTAATTTACTTGCCCTTTGCAATGTGAGGGAGCATGAGAGAAAGTGGAGATGAGTAATAACTTTCAAGTTTTAAAAAGACAGTGCGTGTCTTTATCTTTTTCTCTTGCTTTTAGTGTTTTCCTTGACCACTATTTCCATGGAAAACATTAAACAGACTTTGTAAAAGATTAACACAATTAATAGTTATTTGCAGATGTATATTACAAGTACACAGACAATTTGTTTGTGATTGGATGGAGCTGTGGAAGTTAATGTTTTATTTATTGCAAGTTCTCCAAAATCTAAGTAACCCTGCTAAATAATTGAATATAGATGTCCCTGACTATGCCCACCACTAGACACAATTTCCAGCTGTAACAAACTCCAGTAGTGTAGATAGAAAGATGGATAGATGACTGAAGACAGTATATTGGTCTTATTGGTCAGCCACTAGAAATCCTTTCAGCCAGCTCTTGTGCATTCATGTGGACACAGCACTTGTCTGTGCTGCATAATTTCATTATTTTAACAGACCTCCCGACCCAGCAATGCAGGGCAACAAAGGAATTTTGTTTTTTTTCAAGTGCAGAGAAAGAGACAGGATATGAGAATACAAGTTGACCTTCGTGATAGCCTGATTGGCCGGACACATTAAACCAATTTGCTTGGTTCAATAGGAAGCAGCCTATTGGAGATGACATGGGCATGATAACAAGACTGTGGATTGTCAGTGGACGTTCAGTCTCAAGTTATTGT